ATTGATTTTATTTTTTTTATTTTTCTATTATATCTATATTTGATATGACATGTATGATAAAAAAAAGGGAGAAATAAAAGAAATGTGAAGACTGGTCAATATGCTGCCACGTCACTTGCCAAGAAAACTTTGAATTTTCTATAACTTTTTTTAATACCATTCTATTATTAGAAACTTTCTATTTATATAAATAAATATACACTTTTCATGTGGGTACCTTACATTTTGTGATGATGAATCTATATAATTAATCAATAATCAATGATTATTGATAAATAAGAGGTTTTGTTTGTAATTTTATATAAATACAATCTTAAGTGGCATTTGTTTTTTTTAATATATGTTGAAGTTTGAAGTCTTATTTCACTTCTGATTAATAAAAGATGGTGTTGAAATCTGAATCAATGAGACTTTTGTTGTTGTAAACCGACAAATGTCTGAAGTCTGAAATTTGAATCAATAGTTTGTTTTTGTAAAATCAGGTGCAAATATTTTACAAAATTCTCTTGATTTTCATAAAGTTTTCATTGCCCAAATCCATCTTAACAATTTTTTAACAGATGGAACACAGTAAAAGCCTTTTGGATACCGTTCACACTTCCATGCTATCGGGAATGCCGTCGGTGAGTTTGTTTGTAGAAAGATCGATACTTTTGATAGAGATAGATTGCAGATAAAAGTTTTTGTTTCGCATTAATCTTTTAAGCTAACCTATATATACAGAATATATATATATATACACACACACACATATATATATATATATATAGAGAGAGAGAGAGAGATCTAGAGAGAGAGAGAAGGTGGGGTGTGAATTTCACATGGGTGATGAAAGGACCATGACGTCCTCGGTGGAGAAAGAATCAATAGCCAAAGAGAATCAAAGAAAAAAAGAAATTAAGATATTAGTCTACCTCTTATTTATTCATACCCTATTAAGTGATAAGAAACTCTGAAAATAAATAAAAAAACAAACAGTTTGAATTACAAAACGTCTGAATCGAATCAGACATAAATGATAATTAAGAGCTGAAAATGAAAAAAAAAACAAGCAAGACCTTAATAAAAGAAAATTTTAGGGGTTATTTGCTGATTTTACAATTCTTTCTCTTATCTTCTATTAGCTCTCTCCATATCACATCTCTCCTCTATGATATTAACTCTATCGTATTCTTGTTTGTCTGTAGATCTGAATATTTATCTATCAATTCTGGTCTTCGGCAGTGACACCTTTGACCATAAAGATCCAAACATTTACTAAATTAAAAGCGCGATTGCAACATATAACAACACAAAGTATCAACTTGTGATCTTTGTTTTGGATTACATATACACGGTATTTCTTTGGTGGGCTCAGCTTTTCAAAGAAAAACTAAAGGTTGCTTCGCAGAATTGTTGATCTTGAAACCCATTAAACACCACAGCAGTGATCCCAAAGTCAAAACAACCACTAACAAATTTTATTTTAAAAAAATTGTGGGAACAGTTTTGATTAGATGTGGTTATTCATGTTGTAAACAACCTTGAATCTCAAAGTTGGATTGTTTCAGAGGGTCGAGCAGTGGTTGAATATGTAGATCTCTAATCCAAAAACCCAATCCATATGCGAATAAAATTGAAAAGCAAATGGTCGTCATATGATTAGTCGGCTCGCATAGCGGGTTGAATATCCAGGTTAATCAAAAAAAAAAAAAAACGAAGCAGTAAATCCTTTGTGTTCGTCCGGCTTGAGCAAGAGGCCAAGAAGGACTGAAACATGGGATGTCGTCCTTAGCGGCATCTCATGGTGGTGGTGGTGCGTTTAGTGGTTATCTAAAATCATAAATTAATAAATAAATAAAACTTGCTTAACAAATCCAAAATTTATAATATATATAATAATCAATTTGAAATTCTTTGAGTCTAACATATTATATTGTATTATATATTTATTTTTTATCATATTTTTGGTATTAATTAATATATTACATTTCTATGGATTTATTTTAAATATATCATCAAATATTGTAATTGATTAATTTTTTAAGATGTCATTTTTGGTCATTTTACATGTTTATAAGCTAGTTTTTGTCAAACATAATTTGTTAATCAGTTAGTTTATCACCTAGTTTGCCAAACACAGCCTTAATGTAAAATGTAATAATAAGTTCATATGACGATTTTGGGCATCTTAACAAGTTTTTTGTGGCACGCTTAAAATAAAATATCGTATGTGAGTCTTTGGTATTCTAGGAGGTCAAGGGTTCAAACATCATATTCACTGAGTTTATTTGTTCTATTTGCCGTATATAAATATTATATACTTCAAAAAAATACCATATTAGTTTTTTTTTACATGACAAACACTTTGGAAATATCAACACATTTTAAAGGACATTTTTAAATGATGTCACAAAAAATTTAATACGATAATTTGTTTCAACTGTGTACTAGAAAATTTGTTAAAATGTCTAAAAGCATTTCATAAACTTATTGTAAGACTTTTATGTTGGACGACAAATTGTTTGGTCCTATAAAGTGGTCTATTGAGAAAGTTAGATATTTTTGGCGTATCATAAACCAAAATTTGCAGTAATGAAATAATAATAATATGTTAATCAAGTTGTAGATCGTGTGAGGCATGGCGCGGCGATGAGGTCATGCTTAGGGACGGACCCAATTTTTTTTTCAACGGTGACATCATTTGATTATAAGAAACAAATATAGATATATTTTCTACAAAATCATCATTGGTTTGTTGGTTAGTTCATTGTTTTTTATATGTGAGTTCATGCGTTCAACTCTATTATTGCAATTTTTTTTCCAAGAAACATAATAAATCTGAAATTAAAAGCTAAAAACTAAGAAAATGATACTAACATAATTCAAATTTGGGTATGGGTGGAAGAAGAGTCTTGCAAACCAAGTCATCAAAGGACAAGTTGTATTCTAGTTGTAGTTTCAAAATATATATGGTGACACGTAATAAATTGATACGTTGACACTTTTCACGACTCTAAATTTTTACACTACAACAGAGGAACAAAATGGTGGCACGAGCCACCACAAGAACCCCTGGGTCCGTCACTGGTCAAGCCTCAAGCTTTAAGAGACATGATGAGGCCACGACGTTTTTAAGGCGTAACTTATGACGGTAAATTTGTAATGATTTATATAGTTATACACTCTTTGTCTCAACCATTTGATTTGACAATAGCACAAATAATAAATCTGGTTCATACATTTAGAAAATATTCTTGATGTTTACCTTACAATCTGGTGTCTCTACCATATACAATCTATCATTCAGATTAAGAAACGTATCTGGGTATAATACTCATCTAGATAAACATACAGATCCACATAGTGATCAATCAGATATATCCTTAAGAGAAATCTTAATCTGTCCCAAAATCTCAAAGCAAGAAGGATCTGGCTTTTAATTAAGTCTAAATAGGCATAGCAATGGGGTGGGGATAGGGCGGGTTTTGTAATCCATGGCCCCAGACCCAGTTTGTAGTAACATTCCCCGGCCCCGGTCAAATCTCTAACAATCCCCGGCCAAACCCCATAAATAGTATCATTTAGTTTGATTCTACAGGGGATCCCCGGCTCCGTCCCCGGTTTAAGTCTAACGAGGATCCTCGGCCCCGACCCCAGGACCCGTTTTAGCGGGGAATCCCTCTCCCCGTTCGGGTCGGGTGAACCAGAATCCCCACCGGATCGGGACAAATCACCATCCCTAAATCTGAAGCAAGGTTCCAATTATGAACACCTTTTAGGATTAGAATGTTTTATAATCTTGCTGGAATCCGAAATATAACTTATGTTTCCATGAGAAAAATATAATAGGATTTTGTTTGTAAGAATCTTATTTATCTGTACTGATCCAAATGCAAAATGCCTTCAACAAAACCGAAGACTAGTTGAAGTGATGTAAATATAGTCACCAAAGTGTCTTGAATTGTCATCTAGTCGATTGAAGATCAATACAAGATAAAATCAAAAATAGCCTGACAAATACTAGTCTTGGCGAGCCGATTTTCTAGTACAAACTTAACCAGCAAGTTTGGCTCACTAACTCTTGTTCTTGTATGAGAACATGATTATCATGTCAAACTAACCAAGATCAAAAGTACTATTTTATCAGTAACATTATTTATTTACTGTTCCCAGTGCTTACAAAATGATATGTTGTGTTAACAAACGTCTACATCAATTTCAAAAAGTTGAAATGAAGAGTACAAGTATGCACTAATCAACAAATCAGATGAAAACAAGAGTTAAAGTTGGATAGCAACGTTTAATGCAATGATAGCTTTTAAAAAGCAACCATTACCAAACATTGCAACTCACTTGTTTTGAATTTCGATAGAAAGTTCCGAGTGCTGGTTTTTTAGGCAAAGTCGGCATCAACATCTGAAGACGATTTTCGTTCTTCAAATGTGAAATAGTACATTTTTCTTTTATTCTTTCAGTCTATAGCATGTCACCAGCCAGATTGTCTAGGATCAGATTTTACCTCATAACTTCCGCAACAAATCTATAATTCTTTTGTTTTTATAAACATACAAAATTGAAAATCTAATGTGTTCGTATTCAACCTCATTCTACAAGCACGTTCTGTGTTGATGTGGCGAGTGATGAGATGAATATGAGTTGAATAACAAATAACAATGAGTTGGATACCACATCACTCGCCACATTAGCATGGTAACCGATTAATGCTTCAACCGGTTACGCGGATACTTTAATGTTTAAAATTTTACATCTTAAATACCAAAATGGAAGTTTTGAAAGTACGTTACCTAAAATAGAAATCAAGTTAAAGTATGTTAGTTTTTCATGCAATTTGTCCTACTTATTATAACATTTATTTTACATGTTCAATCAAAATGTTATATTTAAGCAAACATTGCAAAAAAATAAAAGTTAAGGGGCCAAACATGCACAATATCAAAAGATCTGATCTTCTCTTGTAACCGTGTAGAAAAAGGAAGCGCACCACGTTTGCGTTGATCCATGTCTTCAATTTTTGCAAATTGACTTTCTTCGATTCTCTCTCAGGGTTTTCATCGTCCCCAAATTTTTCCGACCTAAATTCCGGCCGATCAAACCACCATGGCGTCGTCAAAGATCATCGTTCTCAAGAGCTCCGACGGTGAAACCTTCGAGGTTGAAGAAGCGGTGGCGTTGGAATCCCAAACAATCAAACATATGATTGAAGATGACTGTGCCGACACCAGCATCCCTCTCCCTAACGTCACAAGCAAGATCCTATCGAAGGTTATTGAGTACTGTAAGAAGCATGTGGAGACAGCGAAGGCCGATGATAAGGCAGCTGAGGAGGATCTGAAATCGTTTGATTCCGAGTTTGTTAAAGTGGATCAAGGGACTCTCTTCGATCTCATATTGGTTCGGTCCTTTCTTGATTGAATTTATTGATTATTTCTGTTTGATTACATTTATAATTGATCTGTGTTTATTGGTTTTTTTTATTTGCTCGACTATTTTTCAAAAGATATCTAGGGTTTGCTTTGAATGTTTGAATCCCTTCCTGTTGGTCTATTTTTCATTTCGATTTTGTGGACCTATTTCCTAATTCAAGGGTACATGAAGATGGATCCGCAAAATTGAGATTGAAAATAGATGGAAGATGGGATTGGAGCCTTAATTTAATGTGTATAAACATGTATTATAGCTAACTTTTTGTGAAGAATATGGTTTATTCGAATGCCATGCTAAGGGTACTAAGCCAACATCAACACTTTAGATACATAATTTATTTCTCTGATCTTTTACTTTAATCTTAAATTATATTATTAAAGCTTGAATTGGTAAGCCTCTGCATATGCTTGCGTTTAATTGCTTGTCAAATTTTGTGTTTTTTGCTACTTCTTTTTATTGGGACGCCATTGAAGTGGCTGTTAGCAGCATGATATCTGTATGCTTATATGATGTGGCTGAATTTTGCTTCCAGAGCGCTTATTATACATGGTGCTTGTGCTGCTTAATGTTTACTGCTCCAAGAGTTTCTGGATATACTGTACTATGTGTTGTAATAGATCTTTTGAGACACTAAAATTCTTCTTATCATTGTTACGATTTTTTCTAGTCACATGCTGCCATGCCAGTGTCCAGAAGATGCCTTGCTCTAGTTTTAGCTTCCTTGATAATTGATTTACTTGTCTGTTTTCTGGGAATACTTAGATTATGTCACTCCTTCAGCGAGTCTATCGTGCTCATGAATTATATTTTTTCAACGTGGAAGTTTGTCATTCTGGTATGACTTTAGGAAAAGACATGAGTGAAAGCCCGAATAAAGCCTTGTGCCCTAGGAAAAGGCCATGGTGTGTTCTACAGTTGAGATGAGCACTGACCGGTCAAAATCTGATTTGTTACTCTAGGACAGTAGGACCGGCTCATTTGCTCACCTCATCCTACAGAACATCTCAAGTTTTGACATCTATCAGCGAATGTCTATCCTATCATTTTATTATGGAACTGTTTTGGTGGCTCTTTCAGAGTAATTTGCATTGGGCTTATCTTGACTTGGCTCCTTATCTGGTGAGAGAATTATGTGAACGTTAGAAACGAGGTTGTAGCGTGTCGCGGAGAGACTCTATCGGATGTTTATTTCATGATATGGGAATAGTATCATTTTGGTGTCTCATTAAGAGTAACTAGCATTGAACTTTCACAACAGTATCTTGAATAGTCGCCCTATTTGCAAAACAAACCAAGCGAGCCCAGTATATCCCAACCTGGAAGTGGGTATTGGGGGTAAGATCTACGGAGACTTGACCTCTAACCTAAAGAGCATGGTGTCTGTTTCTGTGAATACCTAGAGATGCGTGTGAAAAGGAGAAAGACATATATGTTAAAATTTTAAAAGGTAGATATAAGTAAGCAATGGAACTCAAAGGATTCCTGGCGTAGTGGTGGAGGCCCATGGGGATGTGGTGGAATATCCCATTTGCCATGGTTTAATTCCGGGCGTCCACAACAATTGTGGCTACTGAGCTTATTAGGGCTGATGTCTTACAGTCACAACTTGCTGGGATTAGTCCGGGCATAGCCCGGGACATCCTTCCAAAAGAACTCAAAAAGGACTCCAAATTCACTAATCTGCTCTGTTGATTTTATACACTGTCATCTGTAGAGCACTCTTTTTTTTCTTTTTTCTGTTTAATTTGTGTTCTACAAGTTGGGGTCTTCAAGGAAATAGTCTCTGTGCCCCTAGAGGGAAGACTGAATACATCCTACCCTCTCAGACCCTACCTTGCGTGGGATTTATTGTGGTTTAGTTTGGTTTATTAGAATGGGATTAATTGTATGTTGGATTTGTTTGTGTAGTTGATGATGATTTTTTGGTTGAATGTTTTAGGCTGCAAACTATCTGAACATCAAGAGCCTGTTGGATTTGACTTGTCAAACGGTGGCAGACATGATCAAGGGCAAGACACCGGAGGAGATACGCAAGACGTTCAACATCAAGAATGACTTCACCCCGGAAGAGGAAGAGGAGGTTCGCAGGGAGAACGCATGGGCATTTGAGTAATTGTGTCTATAATGAATGAAAGTATTACCTTATAACATGTTTGTTACAGGGTTTTCGTGATTTTCTTAGAAAACCAACCTTGATTGAAGATTATCGTTGACTCTTGTGGTGAAAGATGCTGCTGCTGTTCTTTATGTTGTATCCTGTGAAGATTATCATCTTGTGTTGGTCATTAAATCCTTTCCCCTGCCTTTGCCTTTTCTTTCAATTGCTCGAAAGCCTTCGTTGGGTGTCATATGGTGACTGCAATGGGGTTTTAAAAGGGTAGAATGTATGAAAGCCTTGCTTTTATGTAAGTTGTTTTTACAAAAGTAATAGGCATTATCCGTGTCTGCATTCCCTCACGTCACGGGTATGGGGAATAGAATCTCCTCCCAAGTGCTTAATGGGCCACATTCCGGCACCGTTTCAAGCCATGTTTTTCCCCCCAAAAAAGCAAATAGAAGAAAAATCACTTTAAGGGTCCGTTTGGTTCGTGGAATTCGAAGGAATTTGATGGAATTGTATCGACAAATTCCAATCCCATTGGATTCCTAAGATCATTGAATTCATTATTCCTTGACATAATGGAAGAAATTGAATTTCATCATCGTCCTCACCACGACCATGCTATTATTGTTCTTCAAGCCTCATCCTTACCGCCCCCACCACCACACCACTATTGTTTCCGCTCCCCCACCTCTACCTACCCTATCCCAACCACCGCTAACCACCATGCCAATACTATTGCCATCACCCCTGGTCACCCGTCGCACATCCCTACTACTACGATCTTGCTACTACCCTCATTGTCGCTTAACCCTACCCGCCCCACTCCACCTTGCCACCACACCACTATTGTTGCCATCACAACCCCCACCCCATCCTACCCTAATCCGCCAGTAACCACCATGCTGCTACTGTCTATGTCATTCCCACCCACTCCCAACCACTTGACCACCATTCCACCACTTTTGTGTCACAGTTACCACCCTACCACCCCCCCCCCACATGGACGGACCTATGTATGTGGTATAGGTGGCACGTGCCATCGTATTATTTCATCGCCGAAAGGTAAAAAAATTAGATTTCGTGAACGGTGCAACCGTATTAATTTGTTGTGTGCCACCGTATGTATTTTGAAACTACAATGAGAACAAGTTTTATTTAGTAGAGTTGGTTTGCAAGACTTTTATTCCACCTACACCCAAGTCCGAATTATGTTAGTGTCATTTTCTTAGTCAAACGGTGCCACCGTTTGAAAAAAATTCCTATATTTTTTTTTCATATGGTCAAATGGTGCTACCGTTTAAAAAAAATTCTGAGTCCGTCCCTAACCCCCACTACCACACCACTACTGTCACCGTCACAACCACCACTCACCCCCCACCCCTCCCTACCCCAACCAACCACTAATCACCATGCCACTACACTGTCAATACCCACCCACTCCCAACCATCCGACCACCATCCTTAATGTCATCGTCATAGCTACCGCCCCGTCACCCACCACCCCTACCCCACCCTACCCTAACCTAACCTAACCCACCATTAACCACCATCCAACCTTTTCTTCATGTTGTTACTTCAATTGATTTTCTATCCACCTCTTGTTCCCAACTTTAGTTAACGATGTGGTTGATTTTGGTGGCTTCAACTTCATTCGGGTGCCTTAATTTTGATTTTGTAGGTCAACTTCGTTTCGACTATCCACAAGCTAACAAGTTCTTTTTAGCCTATCAAGTTATTTTAACAACATTGTTTTTACTTCAACGAGTAAACATATGTGGCTTCATTAAGTTAGCAGCAATCAAGTAATTTTAACGACTTCAAATTCTTATGCTCATTTTTCACAGGTCGCCTCGACAAATTGGGACATGGTTTTAGTTAAATTAAACATATCAATATCGTAAAATGATGAACCTTTACTTTGAAATTCTAGAGCAACACTTCTAAACTTTAACGATACAAGCGGCTGATGTTGCGGCTTGTGAAACCATCATAGGTTTGGGATGGATGGTGGCATGTAATGGTGAATTTGTGTGAAAGTGCAAAACACAAGTCCAATTGTTTGGCGTGACAATTGGGCCTGGTTCAATATTTCGGTCCTTTCTGCCCGGTCCATATTCTACCACCTTCAGTTTTAGAGAATTGCATCTTAAATTGGCGTCGATCTTTTTTTTGCAGTGTTGGCCTTAGGGAAAATACTTCAGTTGTTTCAAACAACCAGAAGATTTCAATCCACAGTCTCCTTTCTTCTCCAGCGGTTGTCAATTTGTTTCAGGTACACGAAACTCGCCGGTATTCTATCCAGGAACCCTAATTTGTATGTGTAGATTGCTTCCATGTTTGGTTAAGATCACTGTTTAAATTGTTTTATCTGATTTAAGGCTAAGAAATGGGATTAATTTGCATTGAAATTCGTAACACGGGAACATGAGAATTACATCTGATTTATGAAAATCGTGTCTGGGACCGAAACATATTTGAACTCGACCCGACTTAACCCGAGTACGTACCGTCCCAAATTGGGCCCAATTATTTTGCCAATGGGCTACTTAAAAGCCCACATGCAATTTTGTGGTTTGCACCTGGCTGGCAATTGGCAGGCCTTTAAAATCGGGTCCAATTAGTTTCACCCGAAAGGTCGGAGTCGGACCGTCGGATCATATCAACGTCGGCTGCGAGTGCGACTACCAACGCTACTTCAAAGCTTTCGAACTTCAACAAATCGATCAAAAATCCCCCAAACTCACTTTGCTTTTCAGGAACACAAAACCTGTAACTCCGATGGCGATGGCGGCACTGAGAAGAGAAGGGAGGCGTTTCGTACCTCTTGTTTCTTCTCCAAGACCTATCAATGCGATTCAATCCACTCTTGCTCCCGCTGAGTACGATCTCGTATCCATTTCTTGATCTGTTTGACATTATTTTCTGTAATCGATGTATTGTCATTTCTAGGGTTTTAATTTTAAATGGTTGGTTTTTTTAACATTTATATTAATTTTTTGCTGTTCTGCTTTAAATTTGGGTTTTTGATATAGATAGGAGGTTGATGTGGTTTGATTTTGATATTCGATCTGAATCACGTTATAGTGCTCCATATTATGTGTCTTTGGTGTTCAATTTTTTTGTTATTCGCGCACCCTTCGTGGATATAAACGGGATGGTTGTGGCTAAGTCAAATATATGGTATCTCGATTGAAATTTTGTGTGGGTTTTCTGATGCAGTTAAGAATCATGTTTGTAGCATTGTCATGAATTTTGAATGTACTTTCTGTTTTTTATTTTTTATTTATGACAATTTTGATGTTGAAAACCAGTACTTCTGCTTCAAATCACATTAGTTTTCTAAGTTATTCGAATAGGATGATTTTAAGTTTGGGTGGTTAGGCCTCCACACAAATTTAAAGAGACACATTGAGTCAGGTGGAATCCAATATAGCTGCAAACCATGTTAATGTAAGGTCCTCTATGCTAGGTTCTAACTTTTTTCAGTGCGAGTTGTTCCCAATTTGGATTCTGGGACCATTTTTAAGGTAATATAGATTTTCGTTTCTCTGAATCCAACATGATTTTTTCTCTCTTATTGTAATTCTAACCTACAGGAGTAGGCAATTGCATTTGCATCATCAACCTTTCATATGGTTTGGATCAACTCAAAGTCTGTTATTGTAGTTGATGAACATAGAGCTTTCATGGTCTGAAAACATGTTTTAGCATTTTTGAATTATTAACCAAGTTTGTTTGGAAGGGCCGCAGCAAAGAAAATGAAAGAGGTAAACAAAAAATAACATAAACGAACAAAAGTTTTTATTGTTAAAACACATTTTTACCTTTTTCTTGGAAAAAGATGTATTTTTTCACCAACCGAAACATGAAATGTTTCATAGTTTGTGAAAATCCTTACATATCCTATTTCAATACTACCTTTTGAGGATTAAGCAAATGCACATAATACCATAACTCATAAGACAAGTAAAAAGGTGGTGAAGTAGGTGTTCTGCTCACTGGTTATGGTAGCAATCTTGATGTTCTAGTTGTCATCAACAGATGGAGAAGCCTCCTCACACTGTGATCACCTTTTGCAGCCTCCTCAAGCATTACTTTATCGGTTCCCAGGGCTCTATTTACTTTATTCATAAGAATTTTCCATACAGAAGTGGTAATGTATAAGATGCATATATATTATCAACACCATATTGTTTGAAGAGATTAGCAGCTAAATTAGAAATATTAATGGATTTAAGACTATGAAAATACCTATTTTTACTATATCTCGTGAATCGTGACTTGACTCATTTGGCGCATGGATATTAGATAAAGTTTAAAGAGCTGTGAACTTTGAGTCATGGCTTATTTGAGTTGATTGTTGTGGCACTCGCAAATGTTTTATACATGTAGTGGATTCTTTTGTCTAAAATCTTAATAATATTCATATTCACTACTTAAAGTGGTTATTTTGGGTATTCATTAGAAGGAGATATGTGCTTTGAATTTGACCAATTGATTCAAGAAATTGGAAATTGGCTGTATCCCACTGTAGATCCTACATAGTTGGTTCTCATTCTTCATAGACTGCGAGTGTAAAAGGACCATCAGTCGACAAAAGGATCTCTCTAAGATGATCATCTCATTGCCAACTCCATCCGGAATTTCTTCAATTATTTTTGTCTATCCAAAAAATGATATCCACCTTGTTTGTGAACAATATAAGAGAAGCCAGTACATCAATAGAAGGGGTAGTATTATAGGGGAGGGGTTAGAGGGGGAAGGGCATTCTGTTTTGTGATCAATTGGGTGAGACCCTTTGGGAGGGACCTGACCTCTTGAAAGGCAGAGAGTTCATCGTAAGCATTCTATAGAGAGTATGAACTTTGATTCCTTTATCAATCAATGTTCATCAGCCAATTATTTGCACAACTCAATGTTTGATTAATGATTATTGCATGTTTGGCTGGTGTTTGCAGGGAGCAGGTTGGCCTTGGGGTTCGCTCCATTTCAACTCAAATTGGTAATGACATAATACCATCTTGTTATGCTACCATCGCTTGTCACTGTCTTTTAAGACATTTATGCCATCTAGTCTTTTTGTTATTCTAGTTCTCTTCCCGAGTGTTCATGGTGCTAAATATTGTTTGGGCAGTTAGAAACCGTATGAAGAGTGTTAAGAATATTCAGAAGATTACAAAGGCCATGAAGATGGTTGCAGCTTCGAAGCTGAGAGCAATCCAAGTTAGAGCCGAGAATTCTCGTGGGTTATGGCAACCATTTACTGCTCTGCTTGGCGACACCCCAAGTATGTTTTGTCATTAACTCTTTTTTTTTTTTGCACCTGGTCGCTTCAACCTAGTTGCCTGCTTCCACTTTTATGTATGCATGGTTGATAAATTTTCACAATACAATGATTAAAGAAAAAAATACTTTCTAGTTGAATTATACATCTTAGGATCTGCAGTTTGTGCTGTGTGCAAATGCTAATGCTAATCTGCAAATTTTTGTACTCGAGTAATGTTAATATATGATGATTTAGTTATTAATGCTATGGAGTTTTTTAGTTGCTAAATCTGTCCCAGGATAAATATAATGCTGGAGTAGCAGCAGTTTGATGGAGTTGTATGGACCAAAATCAGTGTCAATAATAACTTGCAGTTGTTACTAAGGGGCTAGTAACTAATAAGTGATACTGGAATGGAACTTTGCTTGCATGAAAATGCTGCTCTTATTTTGGGACGCCAAAATGGAAATTGTTTACATTTAAGTCTGGGCTGGAGGGAGTATTTTTTTTTTTTGGTCAATTTGCATGAGAATGTAACTTTGGTCCAATTCCTTATTTGTGTGACCTACCTTAGAGGTGACCTCTCGACATTTATGCACCTGTTTACATATGAGAGTTTCTTAAAATGAAAGTACTTTGGTTCGATTCTAATTTGTGTCACTTACTTTTGTCTAAATATCGGAGATATATCACATCCGAGATACCAAAATGAAGGTTTGGCAAGTATGTTACATAAAATAGGAATCATACCAAAGTATGTTGCATTTTCATGCAATTTGCTCATTTTTTTCCAAGGAGCCTTTTGAGACATTAAATTGAAAGTTAAACATTGTTGCACAAAGGAAATCAAAGTTAACATATTACTAAAATAGTTTTGTTTTTTTAAAGATGCAATTTGTTGACATTTCTCATTTCTTATTATTTAACTAGGTGTGAGTGTGAAGAAGAATGTCATCGTCACTATTTCTTCTGACAAGGGTCTTTGTGGTGGTATTAATTCTACGTCAGTGAAGATAAGCAGGGCTCTTCACAAGATCAATTCTGGTATGCATGCATAAAAAGTTCAGTGGACTAAATTTTCAATATTATCGGATGTCAAGCTTCATCCATTTTTTCGCATCCATGCAGGTCCTGATGCAGAATGTAAATATGTGGTTTTGGGAGAAAAGGCAAAGGCTCAACTGATTCGTGACTCTAAGAAGCACATTGAGTTGACCATGACTGAATTGCAAAAGAATTTTCTGAACTACACCCAGGTAGCCCTGTTTATATACTAGTACATATGTAACAACTTAGTAAGCTTGCATCTTGTTGGTGCACAAGAGTGGGAAGTAAATGGATATCCGTAAATTCACATATCTCCCTAATGCTTATCCAATTTCTGTTATCTGTACCCGAAAATACCCAATGTTTAAATCCCCTTGATAGTATATATATATATATATATATATATGTGTGTGTGTGTGTGTGTGTAGTTGACATATTTTTGTCCTTGTTGCATGTTTGCACACACCCTTGTTCTAGTTTTATTTCCCTGCATCTCATGCTCTTCGGTTCGTTTCCAATATCCTCTAAACTTTCAAAAAAATTGCCAATTTTTTTATTTCTCTCATTTCTCTTAAATCTTTTTCGGAAGCCAGGGTCTTTATGGAAATGGCCTCTCTATCTCTTGGATAGAGGAACGGAGGAACGGTCTGTATACATCCTACCCCGACCCTACTTTCGAGTGAGATATATCGGATACGTTTGGTTTGGTTTATAATTGATGTCTTTTGTATTGAATAGTAATCTTATTGAAAAATAGGTATGCTTACTCTATCCTTTTTAACTAAAACTTGTTCTTAACAATTAAATATAACTTACAGAATTGCTTGCTACATAATAGTCGTTTATCATCCCTAATATTAAATTGTGAATTCTCATAAAAAAACCACACATCTAAATGTATACGCCATCCAAACTGGATTTGATTCGAACCCGTCTCTGACAAAAATGAATATATCCATATCTGCATGTGGTACAAATGGTCTGAATACAGATACAATCACATCCAACCCTTTTTGTAGACCGTAAAGCAATATGCAGGCCATGAGTCATGGCCTTAAAAAAATTATTTTCTTTACAGGTATCTGTAATTGCAGATGACATCTTAAAGAATGTGGAGTATGATGCATTGAGGATAGTATTCAATAAGTTTCAATCAGTTGTCTCATTTCTGCCTACAACCGCAACTGTGTTGTCCCCTGAGGTAAATAATGTGTTTTAAATCCTTAAGGTTTGTCTTTACATACTTATAATTAGGCATCCTTTTCTTAAAGGTTGTGGAAAGAGAATCCGAAGCTGGGGGAAAGATTGGCAGTCTGGATTCCTATGAAATTGAAGGCGGTGAAACCAAGTCCGAAGTTCTTCAGAATCTTTCTGAATTCCAGTTTTCATGTGTAAGCCCCCGTATTTTTAACAACTTATAAAAAGCATTCCTTTCATTCCAATATAAGGGTGCGTTTGATATCCATACAACATTTGGTAAGACAGAACTAGACATGACAGAACAAATAAAATGATCAATTTACCCCTAATGAGCTGTTTATATATTTTGATTTATTTATATAATTTATTAAATTATAATAAAATAAATATTTTTATATGATAAATATATCATTATAAAGTTTTTGCCAAGACGATTAAAATGGTACTGGAATAAAAAGTTTATTTAGGTTCCTATTTTTATTTTTTTACCTTTTCTATATTATTTTATTATTATTATTATTAATTAATAATCGACATAACTTTATCAAAATATAGAAACCATAAAAATAATATTTTGAAGACAACAAAGTGGAAGTTTAAAGAGCATAAAATACGATAAATAAAATTTAAAGAATGAATAAAATGTCAAGATAGAGATGTATTTGATGTTTTAGAAGAGAATTGAGTTTTATTTTGAAGTCATATTGGTAAATATAGCAACTATTAAAATGATTTTGTATTTGAAATAGCGCACATTCCCATGTAACTACTTATTCTATTGTTGTCACTGTCGTTTAACGTGCTCAGGTAATGTTCAACGGAGTTTTGGAGAATGCATGCAGTGAACAAGGAGCTCGGATGTCTGCCATGGACAGCTCCAGCAGAAATGCCGGTGATATGCTTGATCGTCTCACACTTACTTACAACAGGTCCTCTCTCTCTCTCTCTCTCTCTCTCTCTCTCTCACACACACACACACACACAACCCCAACCGCATAATTGAGACTAATTCCTATGTGTATATATAGGGGACCTTCATTTGAAAACCCATAAAATTGTGATAACCTTGCGAACCGGTGTATCTTACACTATTTCACATGATTTTTTTTCATCTACGACTTGGATCTAGTCTATTGATTAACATAAATTTGTTTCACAATGTCGACATTTTTTATGTATTTGTGACACATAAATACAACCAAAAAGTTTCACATTGTGAACTGAATGCATATGAAACAAACATAATATATATGTTAATAAATGTACCGAATTCTAGCCTTAGATTGAAAAAATCATGTGAAACAATACCTCGATAATAGTTCTCACAATTATCACAATATATTTTGCTCTCAAATGATTAAGGCCTTGTATATATAAATATACATACATAGGGGCAGGTTGTAAATATTTTGAGAACTAAAATTCATTACCTTGTGGTTGTCTTGTTTTTGTTTTATATCAAACCAAACTGAACGAACCCAATACATCTCACCGGGAGGTTGGTCTGTTGAGGGTAAGACGTACACAAATCTGCCTTTTTCATGTGGACCCACTGTTTGTTTTATTTTCCCTCAATCCCAAAACAAATGTGCACATTGAAAAAGGTATATAGTTTTTGTAACGTGTAAGTATTACACTTTTAAAATTAATTAAATGACAAATTTCACCCTTAGGTAGTAATGGACTTCATCTCATAGTTAAGGGTATAATTGGAAAAGACACTTTATTTTGGGCCCGAGGGAGTATTTGTTTTAGGGTACATTGATATTAATTATATGCTCATCTCTTCATCGCCATCTGATGTTACCAGGACTCGTCAAGCATCGATCACTACTGAACTCACTGAGATTATTTCCGGAGCGTCTGCATTGGAAGGTTAATTGTTTCGTGTTTGTGTTACTTTTTTTTTTTGCAAAAGCCAGAAGGTAACAAAAATAAAACCATACGTTTGTTGAAGTTCTCAAATAATCTGGGCTTTGATAAACTTTTCTATCAGGGGCATATTTGTCTTTTTGCAGTTAAGTTTATTTGAGGTTTTCTCATTGTTGTTATGAATGGATATGGGCTTTGAGCCAAATCTTCTTTTGCAATGTTCACATGTATGTTGTTGGTTATTGATATGAATTTGACAGTTATACCCTTTATTGCTTATATCTAAACATGTTATTGTGTACCTTAACTCTCTTCGGGCCACCGGAGGATTTGTCGTTTGTCGATTTGATAGTCTTGTGGGTAGGGGTATTAGCGAGTCAAGTAGCGGTTTGTTCGAATTTGGCTCGAGAATTTAATATCAGGTTCGAGCTTAAATAACTTTTTCAAAGTAGTGCTCAAGCTTGACGCGGGCTCATATAACTTTTTCAAAGTAGTGTTCTTGAGCTATGATATATTTTTTCAATGTTTGAGCTTGATGCTCGTTTAATAAATTTAAATTACAGATTATATATGTAATCAAGTTTTAGAAGCTTGTTTATGGGCTCGAACTCAAAGTAGTGCTCGAGCTCGACCAGACCTCGAATAACTTTTGACTCGAGTAGCAGGCTGTTCGAGTTCGACTCGAGAATACAATATCATGCTCGAGCTCAAATAACTTTTTTCAAAGTAGTCTTATCGAGCTGGAATATAATATCATGCTTGGGCAAATAACTTTTTCAAGGTAGTGTTCTTGAGCTGGGATATTTTTTCAATGTTCGAGCTTGATGTTTGTTTAACAAATTTGAATCTAAATCCAAGCTTTAAAAGCTCGTTTATGGGCTCGACTCGAGATCGATTGACTTGTTTATTGGCTTGAGTTCAATAATTTATATGTTTTGACTATATAAATAATAGACATATAAACATGCTTGACTTGAAAAAAATGTGCTCAAATGGCTCAGTTTGGTTCAACTAGACTCGAAATTTTTTAATCCAGCCGAGCCGGACATTGGTGTTATAGAACTCGACTCGTTAAGTTGAACAAGCTTTGTTTTGTGTTCGAGATCGACTAAAGCTTGAGAATAATCAAGCTGAAGGTTTAGTAGCTCGTTAAAAGCTCGAGTCATTAATACCCTACCATGGGATTAATCATGGTGCATACAATCCAGTCCGAACACCGATGATGATATACTAATATTTAAACCAGGTTGAACCATTATATCGCCCGATATTAAGTATAAAACGTTTTTAATGAAATGAATAAGTCATCTCGCTAAATAACGAACAAACTGCCAAGAATCTCGAATGCAATACCAGCGGACTAAATCAAACTGTAACAAGAACAACATCTGTAATATCTATAACAACAGATATATGTATTATTTAAAGGGTATTTCAGTACTAAATTTCAAATATTACAAATTATAATTATAAAAACCTGTGTAACATTTATATGTAAAAATATTTCAAAATAATATATTTTTTTTTTCCAAAAACCAAGCATCGAAAAAGCAAAACACAAGTCTAACTGTCCTATGCAATAAAATATGAAAAATCGAAAATTTTCATATTTCTAATATCAAACAAAAGGATACATAAATAAAAGTGCTCAATCATGAGCGGGAGCTACCAATTTGGACTGGACCGTTTCGAAGAGGTTCATGTACCAAATTTGTGATAAACCTTATAAAACTTGAACTTGTAACAAAACAAAGACCAGTTCTAAGATTTTTGGTCGGAATCAAGACAAGGACCAAAATCGAACAACCTAATTTTAAAAAGACAAATTTGAGGCGGACCCAACTTGGATACCATAGTGGGGAATCTAATATTATATCTGAGTTTCTTCAAATCGACCCATACATGTCCAAATCGTCCCCGGGGTGATTTTGACCTCTTTTTCTTGTCTTCTAATGAAGACAACTTATGACGCAATGATTTCACATATCAGAGACGATTTTGAGTTTTTGACAGGGATGAGAAACAACTTTATCTTTAAGAAAAAAAGGAAATTGACCAAAATCATTGGATCAGTCCTGAAAAGACATGACAAAATTTGACAAGTTAAATGATCGATTTACTTCTAATGAATTGTTTAATAATTTTTTTTACCAAATAATTAATCTCAACGAAAATTAACAAGATATTTAAAAACACCAAAACATCAATCTATGTGTTTGAGATTGTTTATAAAAACAATTTATTAATTTATTTCTGTAAATATTGATTTATTTTGGCGCGGTGGATAAACAACTTATATCGGTATTAATCTGGTAATAAGGGGGTGTTTGAGATTGCTTATTTAAAACAACTTATGTTTTTTTTGTAAATGTACTTATTAACTTATGTGGTATCAAACCGGAGTTTTATAAAAAGTGTTTGGATTAGCTTATAGCGGTACCAAACTGCAATAAGCTGATAAGTTGTTTTTTAGTGTTTGGCAAATTTTGCTTATATCTGTAAAATGACCAAAAAAGACAGTCTTCCATATTATTGACTTATGAGAGTGTTTGAGATTGCTTATTAACTTATTTGATTTTTTAACATGTAAAAAATTATTTTTCGTCATTTATAATATATTTGAGAAAAATTTATATTAATAAGATTAATAATTTATATCAATAAGATTAATAATTAACAAACATTTATACCAATACCATTAATAATTCAAGAAAAAATAATATATTTATAATATATTTGAGGAAGGGATATTGATGATGATGAGACGTATATGATGTTTGGATAAATTTAAAGAGGGTTAAAATGGTAAATCGGTGATAAGTTGTTTTTCATAAGTCAGTAAGGATTAATTTATCAAAAACTGCTTATTACCGGTTTGACACCGGTATAAACAGTTTTTTTTTCTTTTCCCAAACACTCTAAAATAACTTATCTTCGGTGCCAGACTGAAATAAGTTAAAAAGCAGTTCCGATAAGCAATCCCAAACACCCCCTAGGTTGATAAAAGAATTTTGTAGAAAACTAAAACCAAGATCATAAATTATCTGGTCGGAATCTGAAAATTCATTCCCCTCCTCCCCTCCCCTCCCCTATGGTTCACGTTCTTTCCAGTTTCCACTTTTCCGTAAAAATGGCGAATTTCTGCTTCTCCGTCATTTTCAAGTATCAACCCTTTAGAGGTTCCATCATTCATCATTTTTAGGTAATCTGGGTCTGGTTTTTTGGTATTAGTTGAACTCTGCTACTTGATTGGATGATCAAGTGTTGACTATTTGGTGTTAGATTGAGATCTTTGGCATTTGTTCAAGTTTTCAATTCGATTGGATGATAAAACTTTGGATTTTTTTGATGCTAGTTTGGTTCTGTAATGGGTTCTGAAACAATGCACACCAAGTGTTTGATGTTAGTTGCCTCTATTCCTCAATTTCAACCAAACAGCGATACGCAATGGACATTAACATTCCCATTCCTTTACTTGAACCAAGCAGGCCCTAAATGTTATTCTTCCAACAGGCACTCTGTGAAAACCGGTGTTTCTGCTTCTCTTCACTGTGTCTGGGGGTATGGCGATTCGGCGGTAGTGTTGTTTTCTGAAAATATTTCATGTTTGTGTTGTTCTTTGAATTCTTTTGTTGAGACATATTCAAATCATTTTTAAGTTCAAGAGTCTGATTGTATTCTTTTCTTTGAGGAAGATCTTTAACCGATATATTTGATTTTGGGTGGTGTGCTATGTTCAGATATAAACTATTTTACATGTTTATTTCACACAAGGCTTGTTATCTTCGTCATGGCTGTGTAGAATTTGCAAAGAACTTTCACAAAGTTGCTAATTCCGTGATACCCGTAAGAACATCAGTTTACAACTTGAATCAGAAGCTGAATGAGTTATGGAAATCAGGCCGGGTCAATGAAGCACATTACCTATTCGATGAAATGCCTGAGAAAGATGAGTTTACATGGAATACCATGATTGCTGGTTATGCAAACTCAGGGAAGGTGATCGAGGCGCATAAGTTATTTGATGATACTCCAAAGAGGAGTTCCATTACATGGTCTTCACTAATTTCTGGGTACTGTAGATTGGGGTTAGAATTTGAATCGATGAGGCTGTTTTGTGAAATGCAGAATGAAGGGTACAAGCCGAGCCAATTTACTTTAGGGAGTGTTCTTAGGATGTGTTCGACAAATGGATTGTTGTCCAGAGGGGAGCAGGTTCATGGGTATTCAATTAAAACTCAGTTCGATGCAAATGTTTTTGTGGTGACTGGACTTGTTGACATGTATGCACGATGCAAGCAGGTCTCAGCAGCTAAATATCTGTTCAAGATGATGTCTTATGGCAAGAATCATGTTACTTGGACTGCAATGATCACTGGCTACTCACAGAACCAGGATCAACTTGGTGCTATCGAGTGCTTTCGGGATATGAAGTCTGAAGGAGTTGAGGCTAACCAGTATACATTTCCTAGTGTTTTGACTGTTTGTGGGGAAATCTTGGCTATTAGGTTTGGGGTACAGGTTCATGGTTGCATTGTGAAGGGCGGTTTTGCTGCCAATGTGTTTGTAGAGAGTGCGCTAGTAGACATGTATGCAAAATGTGGGAGTTTAAATGATGCTAGGGTTGCATTAGAGACTATGGAAGTTGAAGATGTTGTTTCTTGGAACTCTATGATTGTTGGGTGTGTGAGGCAAGGTTGCAAACAGGAAGCACTTCTTTTATTCAAGAAAATGCATACCAAGAACATGAAAATCGATGATTTCACTTACCCATCTGTGTTAAACTGCTTTGCTTCCTTAAACAATGTTAAAGCTTCAAAATCCATCCATTGTTTGGCTATGAAAACCGGGTTTGGGGAATACATTCTTGTAAGCAATGCTCTTGTGGACATGTATGCCAAAAGAGGAGACTTATGGTGTGCATTCGAGGTGTTCAATAATATGGAGGAAAAAGATGTGGTTTCATGGACTTCATTGGTCACTGGCTACACTCATAATGGCGCTTACGAGGAAGCTCTCAAATTATTCTGTAAAATGAGAATTTCTGGGATCAAACCAGACCAGATTGTCACTGCCAGCATCTTGAGTTCGTGTGCAGAACTCACTGTTCTTGATTTTGGACAACAAGTTCATGTCGACTTCATCAAATCAGGTTTTCCTTCATCTTTATCAGTTGATAACTCTCTTGTGACATTGTACACCAACTGTGGTTGCATTGAACATGCTAACAAAGTTTTTGCTTTGATGGATATCAAGAACGTAATAACCTGGACTGCGCTAATCATCGGCTATGCTAAAAACGGTAAATCAAAGGAATCGTTGGTGTTTTACAATGAGATGATCGAAAGTGGAATAAAACCTGACTTCATAACTTTCATCGGCTTGCTATTCGCTTGTAGTCACGCTGGACTTGTGGATCAAGCCCGTCATTACTTCAACTTAATGGTCAATGTTTACCATATAAAGCCAGGTCCAGATCACTACGCTTGTATGATTGACCTTTTGGGTCGGTCAGGGAAGATACACGAAGCCGAGGAGCTACTGAATGAAATGGTTATCGAACCTGATGCAACTGTATGGAAAGCATTGCTTTCCGCTTGCAGGATTCATGGAAAAATAGAGCTTGCAGAAAAGGCGGCAAACACCCTTTTCGAATTAGAACCTCAAGATGCCGTTCCATATATCATGCTATCAAACTTGTATTCTTCGGCAGGTAAATGGGATGATGCTGCAAGAATCCGAAGGCTAATGAAATCAAGAGGTGTAAACAAGGAACCGGGCTACAGTTGGATGGAAATCAATAGTAAAGTTCACAGCTTTATGTCCGAAGATCGAAGCCATGAAAAGTGGAACGCGATTTATTCAAAGATCAATGAGGTTATGATGTTGATTCGAGAAGCCGGTTATGTCCCAGATATGAATTTCGCGTTGCATAATATCGATGAAGAAGGTAAAGAACTTGGTCTTGCTTATCACAGTGAGAAGTTAGCAGTGGCGTTCGGGCTTCTGGAATTGCCACAGGGAACACCAATCCGAATCTATAAGAATCTCAGGGTTTGTGGCGATTGTCATACTGCTATGAAGTTTATATCGAGTGTTTTTCGTCGAATTATAATCTTACGAGATTCGAATCGGTTTCATCACTTCAGAGAAGGAGTTTGTTCTTGTGGAGATTACTGGTAACCAAAAGTTCATCTGCCTTTGCCCATTTCAATATCTTCGGGTTCTTGTGATCATGATTGCGATTCAGAATGGAGATCAAAAAACGAGCTACAAAACGTCAAGATGGCAGGCATTTTTCGGGCACAAATACAATGACAGAATACGGTTAGTAAAAGAGTTATTGATTTTTTGAATTATACCACAATGAGCAGATGGTTGTTTGGTAAAAAGGAATGCAAAAGTAAGGGTCAATTAAAGTTTCAAAAACCATGTTTGAAAGGATAGTTTTTTTTTTAACCACAAGGGTGGTTCCTGATTGGTTTGAGCTTGGCTCCAAAGGTCAAAAATACCAAGAGGTCTCAGGTTCAAATCGAAGGAGTAATAAAAATCCTTTTGTGGCCATGGGGGTTCAAATGCGGTGACTCCGGGCTATCTGTAAAACAGGTGATCGCCCCTGGGATTAGTCGGCTTGCATAGCGGGTTGGATATCCAGGTTAATAAGAAAAAGGATAGTTTTTGTTGTGCATATATTTGACACATAAAGAGCATAGAATTCATTATAAGCTAAATGCTTTCAAATTCTGGAGTCATAATTAAATGATTTTTATGGATATGGCTTATTTGCTTAGACATACAATCATTTATAAAACCAATAAATCATTTAACCTTGCAAACCTGTTTTCACAGTGTTTATACATTGTAGTTTCATAAACAGTTCTGAAAGTTTCATATATGAAACAACACTTTGGAAACTGGTTTGTAAGTTTATACAGATTATTGGGTTTGTAAAAGAAGGGACTCTATTTGCTTATTGGGTGTTTCTTTTGCTTTGTTTGATCTGTGTTGTTATCAGTTTGACAATAATAGATTAGTATTGTTTGTTTTGGAGGATATCATAATCATAGATTCAGATGCTGTCCTTTATTTATTTATTCACAAGACTCTGAACATTTGAAAGGAGCAACTTTGCTGTTGAAGATCTATCAGGTATTATGAGATAATATGCAATCTTTACTTGCAGTAATTGGTATCTTTAGGTCAAAATTATTGATCATGTAGGTAATTTTATTATATGAGAGCAATTAGTACATGTTGAAATTTTGTTGATACGAATAGTCTGTAACGGGTGGGGATACGTATACATCTTCAAATAAATATTTTTAGATTTCTTTTTAATGATTCACATACATATTTAGCCTTCTCATTTGTACCTTCTCTATATACAGGGAAGTGTTTAAACAAGAACACCTTCATTTTACGAGAAACGAAGAAAGCAAGAACATATAGTAAATCAAATGTGATGCTAAACAGGATACGCGGCTGACCTTTGGCAAGGTCGCGGGCCAAGTCGTCAGAACACTACCATATAAAGGTATTGTTGTGTTTTCGTAAAATGAAGGATTTCTAAATAAGAGAATAAGAAGAATAAAGTCGAATCACATGTGATTCATGCGACTTTGGCCACGACTTGAGGTTGCATGACATGTCGCCTACACTAAAATCACATGTGATTCATGCAACTTTGGCCATGACTTGAGGTTGCAGGACACGTCGCCTGCATACCCTTTTGTTGACCGTTAATGTAATTTTGCACGTGATTTGACAGTTTAGTTACTGTTCTCATTTGAACCTCCCAATATATATATATATATAGAGAGAGAGAGTAATGGGTGAAAACTAGTATTAGAAAATTGGTATGTGCAGTGAAAGATTCTGTATGCACAACTTTCCCACTCTTTTAAGCTTATGTATAGGATAAGGAAGGATACTCCATGTTGAGCATTATGGATACATACACATACCTGAATATGTTTCTACCCTGTGTTTTAAAAAATGTGATATATTTACCAAATGCTTTTTGAGTAGCGCTTACTCATACAAGCATTACCATCCTCACTTTATTAGGTAACAATTTTTTACCATCAAAAAATCGATTGTTGGTAAACATCTTTTACCTAGTAAGTGCTTATCGGATAAGAGTCTTTCTCCTTCACTTACTTGGTCCTTATCATGTTCACGTGGTAGGTTAAGTGATACCTAACAAACGTTTGATAAACAACTCCTAAGGGGCCGTTTACCAAACGCTTATCCGGATAAGTGCTTACCGGCAACATTCAATACTATCACTTACTTACCACGTAAGGTTTTAGTTCATTAAAATGTAACATATGCAACAATTTACCCAGTAAGCGCTAATCGTGGTAAGCGTTATCGTCCTCACTTACCGGGTAAAACTTTCAGTCTTTGCCTTCACTCTTACCAGATAAGACCGTAAGATTCTTGAATCAGTCAAAAGATACTACAAAGAAGTTTGTTGAGTAACATTTTTTCTGTATGAATGTTGTCTGATCTAAGAAGTTTGTGAAGTTAGGTTTTATTCCTAAGCTAATAAGATTTCATTTTCTTTTTATCTATTGAATCTTTTAATTTAAGGTGCAATACTCTTTTTTAATTGTCTGTGTTGCTTTGTTGAACAAAGGTAAAGGGTGGTCTGTCTGTTTTATAATTATTGTTACTTTGGTCAAATATATATATATTTTTTTATTAACCTGGATGTTCAACCCGTTATGTGAAACGACTAATCCCATGGCGACTACCTGCTTTGTAGATAGCCCGGAGTCACCGTATTTGAACTTCCGTGGCCATAAGGGGATTTTTATTCCTCCTTGGATTTGAACCTGGAACCTCATGGTACTTTTGACCTTTGGACCTAAGCTCAAACCAATCAGACACCATCCTTGTGGTTACTTTGGTCAAATATTTGCATCATTAGTGATTGATAGAAGTTGAAGGAATGTCAGACTTGTCTATTTACAACAAAATTGATTATACAGAGCATTTACCAAACAATCATTTTTCATTCTGTATTATATCATACAGAGCATCTTAATCATTATGAACCAAATCTTTCAGCATTTTCCAAACAGTTTCCAAGTGTTGTTTTGAAGCTAACTTTTATTTTGTTTTGTGGTATGGGAATCTGTGAAACTTTATTAGATTACTCTACATTTAAGTTATGATATGATTGCGCCTCATTTTTCTAGCAACGATGTCCAACGGATAGATAGCTAGACTTCCAAGTTGCGGCACAAAGTAGCGAAGATTGTTCGGTTAGATTTTTCCGATGCTGGAGTGAGTTCTTAAGAAAGAACAGAGCTAGACTTGAAAGTTGGTATTGTTACAAATAAATGGTTGACACATCGACTACTATCTCTTCAATGAATTCGTCCCTGAAGAATTGCTTTGGTCAAAGACCTTCCAGCCTAGTGGTAAGGTTTGGGAAAAACATAGTCATGAACCCAAATTCGAGCCCTGGGAGGAGAGTGTTGGCGACATTTAAGTGAGGTCATGTTTAGCCTCCAAATTTGCCGGGGATTAGTCGGGCTTTGGCCCGGTCACCCTTTCCAAAAAAGAATTGCTTTGATTTTCAGTAAGTTTCAACCATAGCCCCTCGTTTATGCTCAAATATAAGTTCCAGGGTTTTTTTTTAAAGAGGAGTTAGGGGCTGTTTGGCAGTTGCTGAATGGTTTAGTACAGCATGATTAAGTGGTCAGGATGATTAAGAGACTCTGTATGATTTAGTGCCAGATAGAAAAAGGTTGTTTGGAAACTGTTCTGAATCAACAGTCTGAATGACATAAAATTACCATTTTACCCCCAGTCTTGTGTTTAATGAAAATTAATGTTTG